GGATGGCTCTAGACTGTTCTCAATGGTAGCAGATGACAGAACGAGGGGTAATGGTCTCAAGTTGCAGTGGGGGAGGTTTAGATTGGATATTAGGAAAAACTTTTTCACTAAGAGGGTGGTGAAACACTGGAATGCGTTACCTAGGGAGGTGGTAGAATCTCCTTCCTTAGAGGTTTTTAAGGTCAGGCTTGACAAAGCCCTGGCTGGGATGATTTAACTGGGATTTGGTCCTGCTTCGAGCTGGGGGTTGGACTAGATGACCTTCTGGGGTCCCTTCCAACCCTTATATTCTATGATTCTATGATTCTATGTTTGCAAGATGTGGCCCTTCCTTTGGTCTGCCTTTGGTCTGCCTTTGGACTATAAGGTGGATAGAAAGCTGGCTAGATTGCCGGGCTCAATGGGTAGCAATCAACGGCTCGATGTCTAGTTGGCAGCCGGTATCAAGCGGAGTACCCCAGGGGTCAGTCCTGGGGCTGGTTTTGTTCAACATCTTTATTAAAGATCTGGATGATGGGATGGATTGCACCCTCAGCAAGTTCGCAGATGACACTAAGCTGCGGGGAGAGGTAGATATGCTAGAGGGTAAGGATAGGATACAGAGTGACCTAGATAAATTGGAGGATTGGGCCAAAAGAAATCTGATGAGTTCAACAAGGACAAGTTTAGAGTCCTGTACTTAGGATGCAAGAATCCCATGCACCACTACAGGCTGGGGACCAACTGGCTAAGCAGCAGTTCTGCAGAAAAGGACTTTAGGATTACAGTGGATGAGAAGCTGGATTATGAGTCAGCAGTGTGCCCTTGTTGCCAAGGAGGCTAGTGGCATATTGGGCTGCATTAGTAGGAGCATTGCCAGAAGATCGAGGGAAGTGATTATTCCCCTCTAGTCGGCACTGGTGAGGCCATATCTGGAGTATTGCATCCAGTTTTGGGGCCCCCACTACAGAAAGGACATGAACAAATTCGGGAGAGTCCAGTGGAGGGCAACGAAAATGATCAGGGGGCTGGGAAACATGACTTACAAGGAGAGGCTGAGGTAACTGGACATGTTTAGTCTGCAAAAGAGAAGAATGAGGGGGGATTTGATAGCAGCCTTCAACTACCTGAAGGGGGATTCCAAAGAGGATGGAGCTTGGCTTTTATCAGTCATGGCAGATGACAGAACAAGGAGCAATAGTCTCAAGTTGCAGTAGGGGAGGTCTAGGTTGCATATTAGGAAACACTATTTCACTATGAGGGTGGTGAAGCACTGGAATGGGTTATCTAGGGAGGTGGTGGAATCTCCATCCGTAGAGGTTTTTAAGGCCCAGCTTGACAAAGCCCTGGCTGTCATGATTTAGTTGGTGTTGGTCCCGCTTTGAGCAGGGGGTTGGACTAGATGACCTCCTGAGGTCTCTTCCAACCCTAATCTTCTATGATTCTACCTTCAGTCCCTCAGGGTCTCTAAGATAGCTATAATACTGATTCTTTCTGAGGGAGAAAAGGGTATCTACATTTATCATACCCTGAATAACTGTCTCAATTGGTTATAATGCAGTCAGGTGGTCTGTGTCTGCAACAAACTAGCATCAGACACACCTGGAAAGACAAGGCTTACACTCATCTGAACAGTGTTTTTCATTTTCTAAGGCAGGGTACAAAGAATCAAAGGACTGGTATAGACTTAAGTCAACAACCTCAATATTTTATTCTTGCAGGCACCTCACTGGGAACATAGAGAAATGTGTCCCAGAGGAGAGCCCAGAGAAGGGGCTGGGGATCTCAGAAACCACTGAGGTGGGTGAGGATTCCTGTGACTCTGTAACACAGGGAAGCAGTGTACTTCCAAGTGTGGGAGAGGCTGAAACTAGCTCCTTTCCAGTAGAAGGCAACATGCCCTCAGGCGCAAGGGCAGGAGAGGTGATGTCAGTGATTAAGGAAACTGTCCCAGTTGTTAGCTGGCAGAGTTCTGCAGATGAACAAGAGACAGAACCCTTCCTAGGGAGCACAGAGAAATCTGTCTTAGGAGGGGGCCCAGAGGAGGAAACTGGGAAAGGAATAGTGGGGGTACAGGAATGTCTCCTCACTAGTCACTTGGGGCAGGATGTCCAGGACACTAGGGTGGCTGGGTCAGCATCTGTGCGCCCAGGCACTCAGCCTGTGACCCAGGTTTTGAGAAGGAACTGTGTAACTGACCTCCTGGAGGGTTTTTGGAAAGTAACTGTGTGTCTTTAAATCAAGATGCGGCTCCAATGCCTGTGATAACAGAGGAGTTGGGAAAAGAAAATTGCCAGGTGGTAGTTAGTGAGAATACAAATGGCCCAACTGACAGAGTGGGGGGTGTCTTACCCCACCCTGGTGAGACACAGAAAGCAATTATGGGAGAGCTGCTGGGAAAAGGTGCATCTGATCGAAGAGTAAACACACCTAGCCCGTAGAGCACAGATCACAGCCCTCCAGGGGGCAGGGAAGGACTCAGTTCTGGAAGGGGGAACACAGGATAACCCCAAAAGGGGAGCTGGATTTTCTGCATATATACAGTTCTGGGGTTGGGAGACCAATCCCCAAAGGGCCAACCAAGGTGTAGGATCCCCCTGAACATCTATCTTGCCAGACCCTGAGGCACCAAAATTCCAGAAACATGATTAAATTAAGAGCCGACGCAGAGGGGAACAATGGAAGGAAGGAAAAGCTAGTGACTGATTACATGGGAGAGAGTCAAAGAACACCATGGGTAACGAACAAACTAACCTCAAACTACACTATCTGAATAGAGGGCGTGGTATCATAAAGATACTAGTAAATGCACATCTGTGATAAAAATTTTGGCATTAATGTTAAGTTTTGGGGATAAGAATTTTGACACAGATGTTAAATCTATGATAATGCTACTTGTCAAGGAGTGTGGGGGAGTCAGGGCCCTGCACCCCCCACTTCCTGCAATTCACCGTGACGCTCAGCCAGCCAGTAAAACAGAAGGTTTATTAGACGACAGGAACAGGGTCTAAAACAGAGCTTTTAGGTACAGAAAACAGGACCCCTCAGTCAGGTCCCTCTTGGGGAGCGGGGAGCACAGACCCAGGTTCTGGGCCTCCCGGCATCTCCCCAGCCAGCTCCAAACTGAAACCCCTTCCTGCTGCTTCACCCGGCCACACTCCCAGCCCCTCCTCCACACTTTGTCCAGTTTCCCAGGCAGAAAGTATCACCTGGCTCCAACCCCTTCCTGGGCTCAGGTTATGAAGCGCAGCCACAATCCTTTACTTGCTGGTCGTCAAGTATCATCCCTCAGTGAAGTCACACCCTTATTTCCCATCACCATCTAGTATTGATGCACTACCCCAGGGAAATGGAGGCACGCCCCGTGTCAGCAGAAGACAGTAAACTAGTAAAACTCCCATGCAACATTACCAGGTTAATACTCCCTGCTCCATCACACTACTTTTCAATTAATACCTGTAAACAGGTTTAAAGCTTATCACAGCAGAGAAACCTTAAAAAACCTGGTTTTCTGTGTGTGACTGGGGAAACTGAGGCATGCTGCCTCATAGCCTTAATGGCTGGATCCCAAGAGAACTATAACACAAACTGCCTTCAAGCTAGTCAGTGACTAACCCTCTTGCAGTAAACTAAGGGTACCTTGGAGGAACACGCTACACCCCCATGTTCCTTTTGAAAAAAATGATTGTGTTGTATCCAATGCAAAGTTTGTCATGTTGGGTGTCTTCGGAAGGTTCATGATGCACTGAGCATGGTTGTTCTAGTGACGTTACAGTAATTATTACAGTAACGTTATAAGCTATAATTTCATGTATATGGTCATAAAGCTGAAAATTTATCCTCATGGCTTAAACCAAGCCCAACAAAAACTCTCCAAGAACAGAGAGGTAGTTCACACCTCATCAGGGCATGTATGGGGAAAACCCAGCCCAGCCTCACAGGAACAAAGGATGCTGGCCTAGGCAACATCAAAAGGATCTGTTAGACTCTGAGTGAGTCACCCCCCCTTCCTTTGGTCAGTTTGGGACTGCAATGAGGTAATGCTCACCTGACTCTGAAGGGGAGAGGGGCAAAGCCAAGAGGGAAGAAAGGACATGATAGAAGGGAGAGACATTTGCCATGCACTTCCTCTCTCTTCCACCTACATCTACAAACACCACACCAAGCGACTGAAGCGCTGATCAAAGGGGAGAGCCTGACTGAAGAGCAACCAGCCAGCCTGTGGTAAGAAGCATCTAAGTTTGTAAGGGCACTGAAAGTGTTAAGATCAGCTTAGAATGTGTTTTGCTTTTATTTCATTTGACCAAATCTGACTTGTTATTTTTTGACTTATAATCACTTAAAATCTATCTTTATAGTTAATAAATGTATTTGGTTATTCTACCTGAAGCAGTGCATTTGGTCTGAAGTGTGACAGAGACTCCCCTTGGGATAACAAGCCTGGTACAAATCAATTTCTTTGTTAAATTGTCAAACTCATAAACTTGCAGCATCCAGTGGGCATAACTGGACAATGCAAGACGGAGGTTCCTAGGGTTGTGTCTGGGACCGGAAGTATTGGCTAGTGTCATTCGGTTGCACAATCCAAGGAGCAGCTTATATGCCAGAGACTGTGCGTGAACAGGCCAGGAATGGAGATTCTCACAGCAGAGCAGGGTAAGGCTGGCTCCCAGAGTCAAGGATTGGAGTGGCCTAGCAGATCACCGGTCCAGACAACGCCAGAGGGGGATGTCACAATAATTTGCTTATAAAATAAATTATGAAGTGGATAAGTTAAGAAAGTTTCTAATCAAAATTAATTTAAAAAGTGATTCTTGATCAGACTTTTAAAAACATTAACACAACCTCATGGAAACTAAACAATTAAAAGAAACAAATTATGTTTACATGTCTTGTACAACAGATTTCTAGTATACAGAGAGCTGCACTTGTTTTTACTTTTCCTCACTCTCTAAAAATAACCTGAAATTGCTCTGTAATTTACTCCTCAAAATAAGTTATTTTAAAATTCTGAAAGTTACCTCAAAGAGAGCCATATTTTTCCCTTCATAGCTATTTCCTTGGTCCATCTCGGCACTGTTAATAAATGGACTATTTTCCTTCGGAATCCCATCTCCTGGTGGATAATAAGAAATGGTTAGAAACAAAGGCAGCAGCAATGCCTACCTCAGAAAAGCGGTTGAAACTTAGAAACAGACTCATTAGCCCAATTTTTCCCCTTATGAAGGCTCTGTGTTGACCTAACTCATATCAAGGATAGCTAGACCAGTTCACTCATTAACATAGCTAGCCTTTGAAGCCAGGTAAGAAATGTGCACAAAAATGTTGTTAATTTTAGGGCTGTCAAGCAATTAAAAAAATTAATCACGATTAATTGCAATTAATCGTGCTGTTAAACAACAATAGAATACTATTTATTTTAAATATTTTGGATGTTTACTACATTTTCAAATATATTAATTAAAATTACAACATAGAATACAAAGTGTACAGTGCTTACTTTATATTTATTTTTATTACAAATATTTGGACTGTAAAAAAAACAAAAAAATGTATTTTTCAATTCACCTCATACAAGTACTGTAGTGCAATTTCTTTATCATGAAAATTGAACTTACAAATGTAGAATTATGTAAAAAACTGCATTCAAAAGTAAAACAATGTAAAACTTTAGAGCCCACAAGTCCACTCTGTCCTACTTCTTGGTCAACCATTCACGCAGACAAACAGGAGACAATGCTGCCTGCTTCTTGTTTACATCACCTGAAAGTGAGAACAGGCATTTGCATGGCACTATTGTAGCTGGCGTTGCAAGATATTTACATGCCAGATGCACTAAAGATTCATATGTCCCATCATTCCAGAGGACATGCATCCATGCTGATGATGGGTTATGCTTGATAACGATCCAAATCAGTGCTGACTGACGCATGTTCATTTTCATTATCTGAGTCCGATGCCACCAGCAGAAGTTTCATTTTCTTTTTTGGTGGTTTGGGCTCTGTAGTTTCCGCATCAGTGTGTTGCTCTTTTAAGACTTCTAAAAGCATGCTTCACACCTCATCCCTGTTAGATTTTGGAAGCTACTTCAGATTCTTAAACCTTGGGTTGAGTCCTGTAGCTATTTTTAGAAATCTCACATGGGTACCTTTTTTGTGTTTTGTCAAATCTGCAGTGAAAGTGTTCTTAAAACGAACATGTGCTGGGTCATCATCCGAGACTGCTATAACATAAAATATATGCAGAATCCAAAAAACAGAGCAGGAGACATAGAATCATAGAATATCAGGGTTGGAAGGGACCTCAGGAGGTCATCTAATCCAACCCCCTGCTCAAAGCAGGACCAATCCCCAACTAAATCATCCCAGGCAGGGCTTTGTCAAGCCTGACCTTAAAGACTTCTAAGGAAGGAGATTCCACCACCTCATGCAATTCTCCCCCGAAGGAGATTTTAATTTAATTGACAGATTATTTAATTGACGCGTTATTTTTTTAACAAGCATCATCAGCATGGACGCATGCCCTCTGGAATGGTGGTTGAAGCATGAAGGGACATATGAATCTTTAGCGCGTCTGGCATGTAAATATTTTGCAATGCCACCTACAATAGTGCTATGCGAATGCCTGGTATTCTATTGTTCTAAGTGCAATTAATTTTTTTGAATTAATCACGTGAGTTAGCTGCAATTAATTGGCATCCCTAGCTAATATATAAATTAATACACACACACACAAAACCACTGTTCAGTGACACTTAAGGTTATTTAGTGACAGTTAAGGTTGAATCGATACTGAGCCTAGCCACCCAAACCTTAATAGTATAGAAATAAGAGGGAAAAGAGAAAAGTCTCCACTTGCACTTTTATGCAAAACCTATCGATACCATCATACTCTCTTCTCCATTCAGTTTGAGAGTTATTCTACATTAACATTGCTGAAGTCATCATTAAGGTTTTTCATAAGAGCACAAGTTGGATGAAGCTGAGGAACATATAGCTTTTCAGTGTCTGTTAGAAAGGAAAGCATATGCTTTAGGGACAATTGGAGCTGCAGTAAAGAGTTATTAAACATCAATTGTTTTGTTTGTTTCAAACTCCCTTGCCTGACGATAATACTCAAGATGGGGCATGACACAATAAATATGTGTGAATGTTCTATAAATTATTTCTATATGTAAAAATGTAGATCTATTCTGAAGCAAGACTTATGGCTATCAGATCACAAAGTATAATATCTTTCATTCTCATGTAATTCTCTCTGGATAGCTACTAACTCAATAAAATATTTTCCAAGGCATATGAATCATTTTTCCTTTATTTTTATCCTGCATTTTAATCATTTTCTACCAAGCATTGGACAGGGGACCTAATTAAAGTCTCTTGCCATGTAAATTAATCGCTTCATGTTTTCAGGGACTTTTCAGTAACAAGTCTTCCAGATACACTATACTTATTTTAGGGTTATTGTGATTTTTGTTTTAATATGTAATTACTTCTACTGCAATTGTTTCTATTTTCATTGTTTATAATAAAAGTCTGTTTTTACTTCAATATGTGAGACAGTGCAACACTATGGGCTCAAGTGAAATCATCACGTTTTAGTCATACTTTCAATTTTTATTGACTAAAAGGCATAAATATTTTACTACTTTGGGTGTTGCATGTCTCATAAATGATAAAAGTGGTTCTAAAGGATTAGTGCACACTTGTAATTTCCTTTGGAAGACAGCAATAGGCTTAAGAGAATTACTACAGCAGCTAAAATTTTCTAAAATTAAGTTTAACTGCTTTGTCCATAGATATTTTTTCTGTTGCAGAAAAGGCATTATAGTCTGTGTTAAAATAGCAGGTTAAAATTGTTTGTCAACAGATTTTTTCAATTAAAAATTAATGTTTCCATTGGGTTTTCAGTTACAAATGAAGTGAGTTGAAAGTTCTCAGCCTTCAACATTTGAAAAACATTGTGATATGTGAAGATTATTTATGAGTTGCCTGTTAACTGGATATTGTGGTACATATAGAATGATTTGTCAGAGCAAATTTAAAAGTTTTAAATGGAAAAAAATAAACATGCTTGTTTTTTAATGTCATGTGTGCTTAATTACCATTCCTAATGTTAAGTTAACTTGTAAAAGAGGCATCATCCCAGCACTGAATATAACATATATTATATTATAATGTAGTTAAGATTGAAACTATATATCAGTATTTAAGGCAAAAAAAAATCTTTTATATTGATTGTTACAACATCCCTGTAATGCATTTTACCCTAAATTACTTAAGTGTATCCTCAAATATTTTAATGTAACTTTGGGAATTTCCTGGGGGAGATTCTTTATAATTAAAGAATTTCCTGGGGGAGATTCTTTATAATAATTAAAAAAAAATTTAATTATTAAAATGTTCACACATGAACAGTAAACAAGAAAGCTAAAGGAGAATGCTACCATGTGAGATTTCTAATTATTTGAAGATATACAATAACAACCTTAAATAGCTTTTTAAAATTTAACTTTTAGGCTTGGTCATTCAAGTATAGACTCTAGCTGCAGTTAATGGTAATTTTCTGCTGTTATTCTTCATAATCAAACACTGAGGATCAGGAGAATGGAGGCAGTGGCCATCTTTGATTATGGCAGGTGATGACCTCTATCTCATATTTTGACAAGGGCATCTTAGCAGAGTGCAAATTGTGACCTCGGTCTCATTTAGATGACTACTATTTTGAAAGAGGGCAGTCCTTCATGAATTCTCTGAAGAGAACATTATTCTTTAGTCTCTGCTGAAAGAGGAATTTTCACTTATGAAGAATAATTTTTAAAAGTGATATTAATGCTAAAAATATTTTTAAACATACCTTAATCAGTGTAATCAGATCTGCTCAAGATTTATTCTGACAACTTTTGTCTAGAAAGACAACACCCGAGCTCATCTTTTTGGGACTCCTCCCCTCGACAAAAACGACAACAGCCAACAACAACAAAATGTCAGATGTAAAAGAGTACACTTTTCAATCAATATTAATTTCTTTACTAGTAAACTCTCAGAAAATTCAATCAGTACTGTAATTTTGAAGAGTTACTCCTGGGGGAATTCTGCACCATTGTGCATGTGCAGAATGCATGTGTCCTGCAGAATTTTTTTCCATAGAAAATACATTCTGCCGAAGAAGTGCTGCATTTCCACCTTTCACCCACCAGAGGCCGCTGTGATACTAGGACAGCCAGCAGCATGAACATAGCTGCCTGTTCTGGCACCACAGCTGCCTCTGGTGGGCAAAAGGTGGAACTGCAGTACTTCATGGGCAGAATGTATTTTCTGTGGGGAAAAAATATTCTGTGTATGTGCAATGGCACAGAATTCCCCCAGGAGTAGAAATTCATCACAGCACCCTGCTCGCGGAGCCAGGTTAGAACAGAGTAGGGCACATGGGGCTGCTGGGGGGGGTCACAGACTGGGGGTCAGAATGGCTAGTGCAGGGAACAGACTGGGGCACAGGCTCAGGAGCTAGTGGGATGACAGCATTGAGCCAGGGGCTGAATGGGAGTGGGGGTGCAAGGCCACATGGGGATGGGGGAAGGGAGCTGCAGGGACACATGAGGATTGGGGAGGAGGCTGCAGGGACACATGGGGATGGGGAGGTGTGGGAACAGCGGCAGATGTGCCTGACTGAATGGGAGAGACTTGGGGTCAGCAAGAGTCTGCATGGGGGGAGGCTCCCCACCTCCCTAACAATGCCACCTTCCACCCCCCCAAAAAAACCTGTTCCATACTTCTCCCACCCACACTCCATCCTTAGAGGTTTTTAAGGCCCAGCTTGACAAAGCCCTGGCTGGAATGATTTAGTTGGTGTTGGTCCTGCTTTGAGCAGGGGGTTAGACTAGATGACCTCCTGAGATCTCTTCCAACCCATATCTTCTATGATTCTATGATTTTTCATACCTGGCTCAAAGCTTCTTACGGCATTGCTAGTCTGTGTTTCCTCTCTGGGAGAACAACATGGACAGACAAAAGGGGAGTCTCGTTTCAATTTTTAAAAGTTCTAGCCTTCCCATTAGGTCTTTTGGCCAGGTGCCCACTCACTTCCTTTTACCTATGCATGCAGTCAGACTTTTTA